AACGTCTGTTCGCTTCTGCAGTTACGGAGCGAAGGTCCGTGCCCCGCATGCCCTGGTGATGACTTTCCTGTTCAAGAGCGGGAGGTACGTCGCTGCTTAAAAACCTTTTGTTGGGAGCAGTCGGGTTTTTCGTGTTTCCAGAGGGCTTAAAGAGCAGAAAGATCCGCGAGTGGGTGTTCTGACAGCCAGGCAAGACGGTGCTCATGCCCACCCAGATATATCCAGTCCTGGGGGTGACCACTGATGGGGTGGTTGGTGGTGAGAACCAGTGGGCAGAGGAGAAATTAGCAAGTGCAAACAGCAGCTCTTGGCTCCTGATGCCATAAGGGAAGCCGAACTCTAGTGTTGCACCTTGTGGCTTTCCCCGCTTATGCCAGGGGAGGAAAAAAAAACGAAAAAAGAGGTTGCTTTTCAGAGAATTGGATGGAAGCGCAGCGCGGTCAAAGCAGAGCTGTGTTCTGATGAGCGAGCCAGAGGTGAAGGGATTTCTTCTCCCTCCCAAGATGTTCTGTGGGGTCCCCAAGCTGTCAGTCTGGATGGGCAGGGCAGAGGGGTGTAGCGTCCAGGCTGAGTGACTGTGGTGGTCCTGCCTTTTTGCTCTCCTAATTGTCTGTTTCTTTTCTCCAGTTTAAGAGAGAAATTGAAATCGATTGCTCAGGCCACGTACACTCATTCCCGGAACTTGGCGTATTTTGTGTTCACCTACAAGGGGCTGATGGCATTGCAGTCCCAGCTACAGGGGAAAAAAATTCCATTTCATTCTTTCTTTGCAGCCTGCATTGGGGGTTGGCTAGTGTTCGGTGAGAACAATCCCATCAACAGCCAGGTAAGTGTGTTTGTTGAAGGTTTCATTGACAAAAAAAAAAAAATCAACCCACAAACAGGTGACAGGTGGATGATCACGTGTCAGGAAGTAGTTGATATAGCCTGGCTTGTTTCTGATGGTTCTTATCATGTAGCATTACTCTTCTACCCTATTCCTCTTTGCACAAGTTCCTGCTCTGCGCTCAAATCTCAGAGGTGGTTGTGTCCCTCTGTGGAAGGGACGTTTTTTGCGGTTTGAGTGCTAAAAGCCCGGGTTTATCTCCAGAGCTGCACTTGTATAGGTAGGAAGGCAGGCAGCCATGCAGCCCAAAGCCCCACCCTTTGTCTGAGCTGCACCCTCGCACAGAATTAAACCCTTTAGCTTGAACGTTGTGAGAGTAGAGCACAACTGGTTCCTGAGCTACGCCTAACTAAACGGCTTTAACTGACAAAAGTTGCTCAGGGGATGTTTGATTTCAAGCTTGTTATTAACATGCAGTTGCAGCTTAATTCGTCAGTAAGACACACAGATGCAGATTAATCAGAAGTGTTCTCCTTGTGCAATGCCCTGCAAGAGCTTACCTTCAGTCTGGTTTTAGGATGTGTCTGGACTACTGAGTCGGTATCTCGCTGGCAAGTGAGCAGGGCTGCTCTGTGACTATTCTGTCGGCAGCGGCATCCGAGGTAGCATTAATTGAGCAAACACAAAAGTTGTGCAGCTGCTGAGAAGTGTTGCATTAAGTGTGACCTATCGATTACTGAATTAGAGCACCAGCAGAGAAGTAGGACTTTGAGGACCTAGGAAAGACACAGACATCTTTGGTTATACAGACTGCTTGCTACATGAGGCCTCCAACCTCTTCGCTTTCAAGTTGGGTCAATTATTTCCACCCCTCTTGCCTGCCTTATCGCTTCTGAATCATTTAACCTGGCCAGTGTGTCAGGTGGGGCTGTTCCCCTAATGTTCTTTGGTTTTTCTCTTTGTGCAGATCATTATGTACCTGCTGTCTCGTATGTTGTTCGGCTTGTCTCGCCTCGCGGTGGAGAAGGGCTACGTCCCGCAGCCGAAGCAGGATCCCTTCCCGCTTGTCGCTGCTCTGGTCTGGGGGACTGTTCTCTGGCTCTTTGAATACCACCGGCAAACGCTGCAGCCTTCTCTGCAGGCCTCCATGACCTACCTGTACGATGACAGCGACGTGTGGCACGATGTTTCTGACTTTCTCCTTTATAACAAAAGGACAGAGAGCGAGTAGGTGGTTCATTGCAAAACGCCTTTGAATGGGACGGGACCTTCGGGCAGCTGAGGGAAAAGGTTACTCTGTTGCTCTCGACTGGCGATTTTTACTTTTTATTTTTTTAAATTAACATTGATCAGGCAGAGTTGCATCTTGTGTCCTGGCCAAAAATGTTCGGATTAGTCTCCTCTTGGCTCTGCCTAGAGCAAGTAAATACCTGCAGGAACGTGTTGCAGTCTTTTTAACAAGAGGCCGTATTTTCCCGACAAGTATGGCTTTGGGGTTTTCTTGGTGTTTGGTTTTTTTTAAGAAACTAAATATGCTTATACAATGACAGCTTGGCAGTAAGTGGAGAGTAAATCTAATGTTCTAGAGATTTTCTCAATGCTCCCAAGACAAACCTTTTTCTGTGCTGTGTGATGGGAGTGGGGGACATGCTCAGGTCTGAAAGCAGGGACAAAATTTCTTGATTTCTGTGGACGGCTGGAAATCCTGTTTAAACTGTTATGAGGGCACTTGTGTGTTCCTTAAGTGAGTTTCTCTGCAGTTCAGGGAAACAATGAGATGTTTGAGAATAAAACTGTGGAGATTGTTTAGTACGAGCCTGGTAAGTTGGGCTTGGAAGGACTATTTTTCCTTGGTTTCTTTCATGCACTTGGGCAGAATCTGTCCCTCTGCTGAGGGCACTAATTAATACCCTGTAACAATTTTAAACTTATTTATATAAGGGGGGGGGGGGGTTTTAAAGCTGCTTGAACTAAGCACCAAAAAAACAGTTATGCAATTCAGACTCCTTTGAAAACAGGCTGAGGCACGCTGCACGCCCTCGGATCTCTCCTTGGGTGCTCTGTGTGCAGAAGCGAGCAACACGTTCCACAAGCACTTTTATTTTGGTGGAAGATAAGCACATGGGTGTCTCTTAGGTCCCAAATCTACCCTTCGCGGCAGTGGCACGTGTTTGCTCTAAACAAACTTGAATGTACCTGTAGTTGGCGCAGGCTTGTTGCTGAGCCAGGCTGAGGCCACGGGTGAACATATGAGTGAGTTTTCCTCTTAAAAACACACTGGTGAGTCCCAGGAACAGCACAGCACACGCTGGGCTTTACCAGAGGATTGGCTAGGTAGCTGAGAAATAGCAAAAACTGCTTTAAAATCAATGAATTCAAGCTGTTGACAGTGCAAAGCACTTGACTGCATATGAACACTGTACCTTTTGCTGAATGATGTACATTAAAATAATTCCTGACACACTGGTTTCGCGTGGTGATGTTGGAAGGAGAGTCAGCAAGTTCCCTGTGCTGACCGTTCCCTTTTGCCTCAGTCGGGACTATTTTGTCTGCTCTCCCTGTACCCATCCGCTTTTCTATGCGGACCTGACCACGCCATCTCATAACCCTGCTGATGCTGTTTTTCATCGTCTTTTGCAGCCTCTAGCAATTTGTTATTTTCAATGGTATGACCCAAACACTACATTTATGTTCAGGTAGCTTCTGAGTAGAAAACTCTCCCTTTCTCAAGTTATTTTTCCTTGCCCTCCTAAGCTCTTTTTTACTATTATGCATATTCTTGAGTGCTGCTTTGCTCCTTAATTTATTGAGTTTGTTTCTTCGTAGTCAAATATTTTGCGTAGGTAAGCTTAAAGATTCAAGTATAGAAAAAATACTGAAGCTACAGGTGAGGTCTGATTTCTTTATACGCATCATATCTTGACTTGCACCACTGCTGGCTCTCTGCAGCAGCATGAGTGCAGCACTGGTTTTATGTCAGAAGCCTCAATATTGTTCCCAATAAGAGTGTTACTATTCGGCTTAATATTGCTGAATTCCTTCAGGCTTTGATGGGATTTCAGAAAACCCTTCCACAATCTGACAGCTACGGCTTGAGAATTTCTCCCTAAAACTATTAGGTTTTTGAATTTCTCCCTAAAACTATTAGGCTTTTGAATCTTTGACCATGTGTAATTATTGTAGCAAAAGATGGTGCAGGCTGGCTGTGTGAGCCACGTGTCTACGAGAAGGTTTTTAACCTTTATAATTTATACCTGGTGTTCCTTTCTCTGGGGAAGGCTTGTCATTCCCTTTGGAGGCCAAATCATTTTCTTCTGCTGGTAGTTCTACCTCTTAAACTGCACAGCTGCTGGTGAAGCGCTTCTCTAGTGACCCGTCTTGTCCTTTTTACACCACCCATCCTCTCTCAGTGACAAAACCGAGCCACATTTCTAGCATCTCCCTGGCAGCAGTGGCCCTTTTTCACTTGAGAAATCTATCACCCAACCTCGCTTTCCGAACCGAGTTGTGCCCGAGCCTCCGACCATCTGTACTTCTGATCGGGGAACCAGCTGCCATCCCTGGAAACCAAACTGCAGCTCGTCCTGGGAGCAGGCGTTCGCGGACGGTTGGTTTTCCCGCTGTGTCAGGGCAGGACGTTAAGCCGCAAGTCACTTCTTTCCCCAGGGAAGTAATTGGAACGGTTCTTTTAACGGCGTTAGTCTGCATCGCTCTTTCTGTGACCAGATAGCTGGGGATGAACCCCCTTATGCCACCAAGGTGTTGGAACAATGCAGGCGTGTCGTAAGGAAGTGAACTAGAAGTAATTTGTCTGAGTCAGACTTTTTCGGCTGCAGAAGTTACACTCCCGTGCCCTCCCCCAGGGCATTGTGTGGGGAATTGAGTCCCCTGTTTGTGTCCTTTTTTTTTTTTTATTAGCATTAAAACCTAAAGGAATAAAAGAGACAGTTGGGAAGCCACCTGCGAATCGGCCAAAAGCTTAAGGATCACAAAGAAGTGCCATTTCCCTGCCCTCCCCCCAACCCCAGCCCTGATCTGTTTGAATTTGAAGATGAACGTGGGTTTGTTTGTCTACATCAACTTTATTTTCCCTTGTTATTGCTTCCTCGGCACCTGAGCGGGAGATGCCGAGTGCCTCAAAAGAGGAGCAGAGTGTCTCAGTGCTTAGCTCAGTTTGTCAAAAATTAGGATTACTGGATAAAATTGAAGCATTCATTTTAAAATGATGCTTCTCCTGCAGATTTTAAGCCTCTTCTAGCGGCACTTTTAAAGGTTAATGAATCGAACTGATCAAAAGTTTTCAGCAAGCCTTGAATAGCAGACTGACTGCCTGTACTGAGCTATTAATCATTTATTTTATGAAGGAACAAAGCAAGCCCAGGGTTATTTACTGCCGCTGCATGCTGCCCTGGCATACCCACTGTGCTTCACTTCTCTTTGGAGGACAGCTTGTGTGCTGGCGCTGCCTGTCAGCATCGCCCAAGAACCGTTTCCGGGACAATTACATTATTTAACAAAGGTGAAAATTAAATGGGTGCGTGACATTTGGCTTAGCTCAGGTTTTGTGCGTGAAGGGCGAGGATATTCCCGAAAGAAAAACCCATGCTTGCCCAATTAGCGCCACAGAGAAGCGCTTACGGAGGTCGTGGCCGCCGGAAGGCGTGAAGCCGTGTTCACGGCCGTGACAATAACCAGCCCTGCTCCGGACAGCTGGGTCAGGGTGGAGAAACTGCAGAAGAGCTTTGATATCGGTGCTGCAAGACTTTCTCAGCCTGGTAGAGTAGTTCAAGCTCTGCTTTAAACCGAGCTGTGCGAGGGGGTGTAAGTGTGGGGTGTCTGGTGGAATAAACTGAAACGAGGTGTCCGTGAGAACCCCCCGTTGGACCCTCTCCAGTTGGGAGCCGCTGGTTCTAGTGGAACCAGAACCCTGCGCTGATACCTTCACGCAGAAGAAACTGCTGCGACTCGGGTTTGTGATTTTCACTGCATCAGCACAAAAATGACCTTTGGATGATACCCCGATCCGATTTATCAGGTTCTGTTTGTCTTCATGGATCATGCCAACCTGAGCAGAACGTGTTCAGTTTTCCTGAAGCTGGTTTCAAAACCCAGCAGATAAGGGAGGAGAGAAAATGAGGCGTGATGCTCCCCAGCATAGTGTCTGTCTGCCCCTGTTAATGTTTTAGGGGGTGCTAATCTTGAATTTTCAAGCCGTGTGTTCAAACTAGATTGCTGAAGGTGGTAACTTTTTTTCTTTTTTGTCATCTGCCTCATTTCCTTAGGAGACTGGTGATAAGAAGGGGGGAAAACAAATTAAATCCTCTATAGTACAAGTACAGTTGCCTCTACTCTTGGTATATATTTTGTGTTCGTAAGTGCTGTGTAATCTGATTTTCTGACAGTGTAAAATAAAGTTAAGAACATGAACTCAGGTAACTTGCAGTTATGCTCATCAGAATGCTGGTGGGAGTATCTCAGGTTCTGGTTTTAAAACAAGTGAAAGAGGGGGCAGTGGATTGCTCAAGTAGCTCTGGCCACTATGAATTCCCTTCTTGTGCAGTCGGTATAGCACATCAAGACTTTCTACCGAATTCATTTGGAGATTATTTCTGTATTAATAGCTCTTTGAATATTATAATACTGTGCTTTGTAAAATAATAATAATAAACCGCTAATTTTCGGTCCTTTTATACTGTCATCATTTTTAAGCTAAAATATAGGAAGTGATGCTTAATTATTGCGAGTTACTAGTGCTGTATGTGGAGAAGTCATGCACAGAGGCATTTTTTGGCATCGGTTGTGCCCTTGTGTTACCAGTTTGGAGGCAATAGCCAGCGTTACTTAGGCCACACCATCAGATTTAACTCCTGCGACACTGGCCAGCTTGGGTAAGGAGCTGGTCCTTGCCCAGATACTCCTCCTTAGGGCAGACAGCTTGCAGCAGGATCATCATGGTGAAGAAATTCTTCACCATGAGAGTGGTGAAGCACTGGCACATGTTGCCCCAGAAAGTTATAGATGCCCCATCCCTGGAAGTGTTCAAGGCTGGGTGGGATGGGGCTTTGAGCAACCTGGTCTAGTGGGAGAGAGGTGTCCCTGCCCACAGCAGGGGGGCTGGGACTAGATGATCCTCAAAGTCCCTTCCAACCTTAACCGTTCTATGATTCTATGATCTTGCCAGAGCAGGCGCAGGTACGAGGCACTGTTGGCTAAATAAAACAAGGACACATACAAATAGATTAAATAAGGATGTGTGGGGATGATTTTGCTGCCTCATCCAACAGAGAGAATGTGCTGTAGAGAAGCAGCTGTAGTAGTGAAGGCAAAGTGGTCCCTGGGTGAGGAGTTCCCTACGGCACGGGCACCGACCCCAAGCAGAAGGTCCCTCCGCGAGGGGAGGACCGAGTAGCTGCAAGACAAAACTGCTTTGT